TGTTCAGAATCTTTTCGAAATTCTATAAATAATTAAAAAATGACATTTTGTTGGGATTTTAAAATTAAACACTTTTAAGACAGATGTGAGTTATTGTGAAGTATTTATCTATAGCAGGGCTCAAAATTAAGGAAGGTTTGTTGGTTCAGGATCATTAAAACTTGAATTAGATCACTATAAAATACAAATCTGTGTTACCCAGACGAGCAATTAATGTGAAGGGATGCCATTTTGGTCCTTAGATTTTTCAGTTTCACATTTTGGTTTGGCCAGTTTCACATTTTGGTTTGTCACAAAATAGCATATTTAATCATAATTGTGAACACTACACATTTTTTGTAATGTTATTTTCTCCTTTAAACTAATCAACTTTTTTTAAACAAAAAATCTAATAATGTCATGTAAAAAGCCCATTGAAAATTTTACAGACTAGTAATATCTTTTAGTCACTGGTCTGCAAATCATTGACAAAATTTCTTAATTTTAACCTCAGTTATAAATTCAATAAATAGTTAATATCTGTGAATTTATTATAAAATTTGAAAAATCTTTTTAATAGCAAAACATGATTTTTATTCAATACATAACGATAAATGAATTATTAAGAGATATTGCCCTTTTCCATTTCGTCATTAATTGAAGTAAGTAAGAAAATTGTATATTATTCAAAAATAAAGGTGAGAATTTTCTCAATGGATAAATATTAAAAAGCATCTTTTCATAATGTCTTGCAAAGAGATTAAAATACACATAAAAATAGGCAGAGCACAATAATACTATATGATACTATATCATCCACCTGTGACTCCATGTTGTGAAGTATAAAAGAATAAGAATTATATTTTTTAATTTGAAATTAAGTTATTAGCTAAAAATGGAAAACTTAAATTACAACCAATCAGGAATAAATTGTTGGACAGATAAAAAACAGAACTACTTTTAATACGAGAATTACATTTAATTCGAGGAGAAAGGATAGGCTGGATTAAAAGTAAATGAACAGTAATATTATTGACAAATAAAAATATATAACGTCTGTAAAGAGAGGGAAATAACTAAATCAAATACGTCAGAAAAAGTTATGGCAACAAGACTTCTGTTAAACAATAATTTACATTCGCCCTTGTAAGGGAAAAGTAGTTTTTCTTATTTACACTAAAAGTAAATGGCTTTAAAGTTGAGTAAAATTTTAAATTAGTCAAAAATTTTGTTTTAATAATTTAAAATTAATTTTTATAATTAAAATTTATTTTAACCACAATACACAGTTATTGTGCTGGCTCTTTATTTTATTGCTGACCTATCTAATTAGAATAATGTAAATAATTTATAATAACTCAAAGTTTTATATCATATGTTCCTTACATTATTTGAAATACCATTCTTAAAAGTTACAGTTTTTTGACACAGGGTGCGTAGCTAAATCTTTCAACAAAAAATAAGAACCTTTTAAGTACTTTTTAGGCACTATGTACATAACTAGTTTATGACAAAGAACTCTTTTCTTGATTACATTAGCCACCATAAAAAGATGGAGATTTTTCGGTTTGATTTCAGAGGGTGAAAAATGAAGCCTGATTTTGAGAATATCTTGCAAAATGTAGCGGACATGATAGTGCAAGAATAATTCCCACTGAATTCAGTTCCGTATACACACAAGTGGACCCACAAATATTTTAACAAACATGTAAAATGGTTGGCGCTTTCATACGCAACAGAGGGACGGTACACCGAATTGCATTTTGTTTGAATGAATTGGGAAAACATTAAATAGAATAAAGTGAAATGTGCTTCTGAATAATACGGGGCTAAAATCAACATGGTAAAAAAAACTCATTTATGAAAAGGTAAAATTAAGCACTTTTTAAAAATGCTATTCACCCTGTTTACACTGCAAAGGATCGAGTATATATTTCTATTTGGATACCTTCACTTGTCAGTATTCTCAGGAATGACTTTGCTATAACTAAAACCACTCAAACTATAAGCAGTAATATCAAAACACCCCAATATATAAAATCGTTAATTAGATGTACTGCATTTAAATTTCACAAATTTAAATAACACACAAAACCATGTTAACATCTTTCTTGAAGGTAGTCTATCAAAAATTTGAGTTAAACTAATTAGAATACCTAAAATGAGCAACATTAATATTTTCATCAAATAGAAGAAGGTATTAAAGATGCAGATGAGATCAGACAGGAAAATTAATTCACAGAGTATGAAACAATAATTCATATACAAAAAATATATTAATCAGCTTTCAGATTACATTAAATATAATTATTTTCACCTAATATGTGAAAATTGTGTAAAAAAACCCATTTCACAGTTATGCATATGCCATAACATATTATGTCTGATTCCAGATAATTGCAATAAATACAAAATGAACATAAAAATAAGTAAATAAATAAAATAGTCGCAATGGGCACACATACTTTATAGATTCATAATTTTCATCCTTTCCTATATTATCCCCAAACATGAGCGAATATTTATTCAGAACTTCTTCAATTACTTTTCCATTTTCATCTTTGTAAGCATGAGGAGCATAGAAGGGCAAAACTGACTGTAGTCCTTGCTCAATATTTTTGAGATATGTACCTAATATACTAATTATAACAGTAGAGTCATTCAGTTGGTGCTAAAATAAGAGAGAAATAAATTAATATAGCAGTAACAAACAATATTTAACATAAAATGGTTACATCTATGTTCATAACAAGAACTCAGTTTGAGATAAAAAAGACAGATTTCCACTTTCTATCGATTGGAAGGTTTAATCACTTATACAGGATTATTGTCCAAAAAATACATTTTACGATATCACTGTAAAATTTGTGAAGGTTCTGAGACTTATATAGAAACAAGTACGTTTAGAATTGCACTAAAAGCTAGAAGCTTTAAAATTACACTAAAAACTAAAAGATTTTAGAATTACACTAAAAGCATATAAAAAAGTAAAAGCATATTTTGAGAAGTCTTCTAATATGACAGGTTTCCAAGTCACTGCTGAATATAAATTTTTTGGAGACTGCTATTACAACAGTTGTATCTTAATCAAGGAATGAAACTGATTTAAATTAATTTAGAAAAAGACAAAATAAGTAAAAAACATGTAAAATAATAAATCAAAATGGAAAAGCCCTTGAAGCAGCTAAAACCAAATTTGTTTTATTTTAATTTAGAAAGTCAGGAATAGTATTTTCAAGGAGAGAACAATTTTTTTTTTTTTAATATAAGTCATTTGTATCTTAAGTCATTCTTAAAAAAAAAAAGTATTTGAGAGACAAATATAAATTTTTCATGATACTATATTTCTTTTGTCATCGACAAAATATGACATAGCATAACATGTCTCTCATATACATCAAAAACTTTTATTAGGAATATTTTATTGATTTAAATAAATATTATTTATAAATATAAACTCAACAGAAAACATTCACAAGATTAATATTAAGATTAATATAATACTGAACTGATAAAGACATGTAGAGAATTTTGCAAAATAAGACCATCATTTGGTGTTCAGACACCGGTAAATTCTTGCTTATGAAAACGAAAATATAATATGTCCATTAGTGAAGTCAAAGATGATGGTAATAACTAATTTATAAATAGAACAGGGTAAGAATGTCACTAGCACATCAACATTAAAGACTATGGCTCTTCATCGGTAATGAAATTAACAAGAAAGAATTTTTTTTTTTTTCTTCTTGCTACTGAGGAAATATTTTTTGGCAATGTTTAGTTAGTTCACATGATTTGCAAAATTTTGAGAGATTTTTGGTTCGATTTCAGAGGGCACAAGTTTAAACCTGGAGTCGAAAATCTCTTGCAAAATGCAATAGAGTTGTAAGCGATTCCATCAATCTTTTCCACCCCATCCAGCTCAGTGTATGTGCATGAGGCAGACCTATGAGTAATTTATCCAACATGTAGAATGGTTAGTACCATCCTATAACAATGACAAAATGGATTATAGTTGCATTACTTTCGACAATGGCAAAGAAAAATCTCATTTTGGAATAGAAAAAATTAAGCACTTCTTACCAACACCCAGTTGAAGAATTATCTTTCAGGGTTTTTAATGAATGAAAATCAAAATAAGCATATTTAAGCACCTTTTAAAAACACTACACACCATGTTTTATGTTTTTAACATTTTTTAATAATTTTGGTACTAAAGTTTGAAGAAAACATTCTTTCAGAAAGGTTTGTGGTTTATTATATTTGATACAACAAATTTCTACTTGATTATACTAATGAATTTTTTCTCTTCCATAATTTAGTAATTTAAAACAAAATTAACAAAAGCATAAATCTGAAAGTACATTCTTAACTTCTTTTTATTTAACAATTCCAACATCTAAAAATTTTATTTGATTTTTCATTCAACAAAATATTACATACATTACCAGGGGTCTGTTTAGAAGAAATTTGGGTCCGTTAGCGGACCCTTCACAAAATATTTTAACTTAAAAACGGACTCTTCACAAAATGATTTTTCTTTTAAACGGACCCTTCACAAATTTGTTTATCTTCACTATTGTTTTGTTATTCGAATAAACCCTTCCCAAGGCAGAAAACAAGAAAGATGGGTGTGAACGAATTAAGTTTTGTCTTCGGCAGACACTTCTTCCATAATTCGCACGAAATGAATATTTTGGGTTCAGCAGTATAGGCTAAATACCACATATTTGCATGTTGCATCTCTAATTTAGAAGCTCATTTTTGAAAATTTAATTTTTTTAATTATAATTTTACAATGCCGAGCATAATCTTATGCCTATTTACAATTAAAAAACTCCTTGAAAAAGTTTTTGCAATTACCGGACCCTATTTGCACGAATTCATAAAAGTGGACCCTGGTTGAAAGAATGTGAGCAATTTTTTCACAATTTGACAAAAACTGGACCTTTCACAAAATGTCTGGACAGACCCCTGATTACTTTAAAGTTGCATATAGAAATTTTCTACATAAGTGCAAAAAATGTAAAATAATAAATAAAATTTTTCTACAATGAATACATTACCTACCTTCTGATTTGAGTTTTTATCATGAGCGATAAGAATTGGAACTTTTTTGTAAGAAGTAGAAAACTTGACTTGCTGTCTCATAACAGGATTAACTTCAACCACCTTATATGGAATACCATGATATTCCAAAAAAGCCCGGACTTTACAACAAAATGGACAAGTTTGATACTGGTAAAGGGTGAATTCTATTCCTAAATTTTCAGCTGGCCCAAGTATCTATAATAAGGGTTTTAATTACAATTAGAAAATGTACAAATCACAAAACTTCATTCATTTAAATTATCATTTTAAGTATTTTCTTTAATTAGCATTTTATGAAATGATTTAAGATGGTAAACTGAAAGCTAAATGCACAAGAAATTTTAATAATCTGTAATAAAAGTTACATAGTATTAAGTCTCAAGAAGTTTAAGAATGACGAGGATGATTCACACACTTTTAAAATCAAGTATTTAGATTTGTATTCACCAGATGTTAAAATTAAACACCAAAATTCATATTTGCATACTTCGAAAATCACACATCTAGATTCATATTCACACACTTTAAATAATAAAGTAAAATCTAGCCATCAATATTTTTATTAAAATGTTTATAACATTCTGAGAATAAATGTTTCCTACATACTCTTTTCTTGCTCAAATTTCAGATATTTTTTCAATTATTTAAGAAGTGTTTTTGCACACAACTCTTTAAAATTTCTATTTCCAGCTTTTTTTTTTTTTTTTTTTTTTACCAAACTTATCACTGTGCTATGGATCAATACGGAGTTCAATAAGAGCACCGTGGCAGAATCGCAGCAGCACGGCGGACATTGTCGCAGAACGTTACAGTGGTCTTACAGAAAGATTTTTCTTTTGAAAAGCAAAAAAATTTCACTTTTCTTTACTGAAATTTGCATGCAATATTTGAATCACGCATTTCAATAATCACTTTTTGACATGCTCAATTCACGCGAACAGTATCGTAAATCGATGTAATATTTCGATTGTATTTTTGGCAGTTATTGACATTGATTTTCATGTGGTTTTTAAATGTCTCAATATATTTTATACAATATCATGCAATTGAAATTTGTGAATTTGAGTACATACTTATAAGGCAATAATTCTATCAAATTTTTGGCAGTTAAAAATATTAATCGCAAAACGAAACACTCATTAGAGGAGTCCGATTCGCGTTATTTCGTTGTCTATCTTTTTTCAGTAATTATTACTGTGGCGAGAGTAGATATCGACAATGTCAACCTTCTTCTATAAAAAGGTACCCCGGCATAGAGTTGAGTTAACATGTCTTTTATACTAGTGAATTGTAGTTGCAATTTTGTAATGGTAGATACGCTACAGTACTCCCCCACCATAATTATATCTGTGATAGAATTCGATTAATGGATACCACTAGTTGAATCATTGCTGTTTTTGTGAGAAGCCAGGAGATCTGTATTAAGATCACCGTACTTTTTGTGTGCAGAAAGTGAGAGGTGTATTAACTTCACAGTCGTAGTCGCTCCTGGGTTGCCGTTAGCAGTCGAGTGTATGCAAGCCGACGTTCTGCGTGATCGAGACTGAGCAGCAACAGTGCTAGGAGGTGGAGGATGTTACAGTCACAAGTAGCAAGTCAACCATTCATTGTGAACCATCCAACGAAGTAGGCGTTACTGTCGATGTAGGCATATTCATATTGAAGTGAGCGTTATTGCCAAGGTATGCGTATTCACATCACGTCCGAAGATCACCAATATGGGGAGAGTAGATATCAACAATGTCAACCTTCTTCTATGAAAAGGTACCCCGACATAGAGTCGAGTTATCATGTCTTTTATACTAGTGAATTGTAGTTGCAATTTTGTAGTGGTAGATACGCTACACTACTCTGAATTTCAATTATTTTTTTACTGTGATGAATATTTACAAAATACGAAGGAAGAAATAATTTGTGCATCTTTCCCCCAACAAAATGCAAGAATATCTCTAATAATATTAGAATGCAAAATTATAACATGATCAATTAAAAAAAAATATATACTATAGTTTTTTCTGTAAACACAACGCTTTTGTTATTTTAATTAAGTAACATATGTTTGTTATTAGGTACAGATTAAAAGTATCTTTCAGAAAGATATTAGTGATAGAGAGTTTTGTCACAGAGAACTCAAAAAAATTTTGCCACAGGGGATAAGAACTGAACATTTAAATAAAAAAATTGTGACTTTCAAAACTGTCAAAATGAGATGACGACAAAAGAGTTATCACTATTTACAAGAGTTATCAATGTATGCAGTGTTTTTCAATTGAAATTTTTGTGTTCACAGAAAGTTCTTCATTTCATCTGTCGCCAAAACTAACTTATTGCAGGTTTATACACTTTTAGTATTTTATAAATTTATAGGGAGCAAAAACTTTTTAAAACCAACATATACAAAGTTTGATTGTGTATTCCCACTCAGAACATCCAAACATCATTTAAAGAAGGCGCAAATGATATAAAAGTAATCAATAACAAAAAAATTACTTCTCTAGATGGAATAACGTCAGGTATATTATCATTTCTAGTGTAATCACTCTTTTCAATGAGACTGGTCAATGGTTTTCTTTTTCGATCCGGTGCAGATAAATATCCGTACAAACCACCTCCTAAACCCAATCCTCCAATAATTAAAATAGCTTTAGTATAGGATCTTCCACCACCTGAATAAGCAGTAGAACTAGCAAATAGTATTGACTGTTTTACTGGAAGACTGATATGTTTCTTGATTATAGTATTTGAATTTAAGAGTCTCGAAAGTCTAAAACAATGCCTAAAGTTGGAGCCCATGTTTTCGTTGATTAAATTACAAAATAAGAAACCATAAATCTAGTTAAATATTAGTGGGTTTCATAATGGTAATAAACTACCGGTGCCCAATTATGAAGTACAAAACTTTTGTTTTGAATTTGACTTTAATTTCATATGTTTATATAACATTGATAACTACAGTCCCAGTTACATAAAATTAATTCTAGTTTGTATATTTGTAAGGCTATTTTTTCGTAAGATAAGAACCAGATTGTGTTGCATTATTTTTGCTGTTAATAAGAGGGGTAATCTTTCTAAAAATTAATAATTAATTGATTAAATATATTTTATAGCGGTTAAATAATTTCGAACTCATGACCGCAATTCGTATTTAAATAGAAGTTTTCAAGAAAAAGACACAAGTAACTTGAGGAAAAACTTTGTAACGATTTGCGTTCGTTAAAATGAAACGGTTTAACCGAATTACAGAAAGATAAATGAAACACAACAGTTTAAAAGATTTGATAGCTATCTGACATATTATTACTTGAAAATACCTTATGTCTACTGTCAAATAACTAAAAAAATAATAAGTATGTTGATGTTTCACTATATTTTCTCTGGTGTTATTTTTGTTTATGTTAGAGTATGTCCTTAGATTTGCTGTGGTAGTGGAAAGTATAAGCTATGACTTTAAATCATATATTATTGAATCTGAATATTGTCTGCTTTTAAAATTGGTAAGTAAAACATATATCTTTAATAAGCACATACTTTTCCTTATTTGTACTTTCTGTATAAGGTATATTACCCCCAAAATCAAATCGTATTTTTATCAAAGACTGCATCTGTGTTGTATATATGTGAATATTAGTAAATTATTTTCTTGTTTCGAATTGTATTATCATTTGTTTATGAATACAAAGCTGTAGTGAGTTGACAAAGTTTTCTTTTTTTTCTTCTTATAAAAAAGGAGTTGTTATGAATAATAGATATCGTTGTATTATATTTCCCTAACATCAAATGTTAGGAACAGTCTATGTATCTTTAAAGGGTATAGCTGTAAATTCATCCTGCATTGTTTCAGTCAAAAATAAATGTCGTTATTAATTATTATTTCTATTTTTCACTTGACCTGTGTTAGTAAGTATTATTTACGAAACTATATCATGTTTTATTTGTAAATTGTAAAGAATGTTATATTCATTTAGGAAATCAATTTAATTAAATAATTTGTTTGCTGTTCATAAATTGGGAAACTATTTTTATATGAATGTTAATGATTATCACTATTTACTAAAAAATCCAAATTTCTCTGATTTAAAGAAATTAATTATTTTTGTTATTCAATTTGTCATTATTTTAAGGCAAAGAGAATAAAAGGATTTGATAGTTAAAATTTATCTAGGATCAAGAAAACATTCCTTTTAGATGTTAGTTTTTTATCTATAATTTTTTTGGGTTAGATTATAAATGCTAGTACTACATTAGATGTTATTATAATTACTTAAGCATCATTGATCTCAGTTAAGTTAGGCAAGTTTTTATGGTCCTCTAAAAATGGATAAGTAACCTTTTTTTAAAATTATTAATTGCATTTCCTTTCTTAATTGATTGTACTGAAGACATAAAATGTTTATGAAAAATTTTGTCATTTAATTCTTAAAGAAGTGTAATTTGTAAATTAATAAATAAATGATGGAAGCTTGAATATATTTATATAAATATTTAATCATAAGATCTTATTTACGTCCTTTAGAATTTTGACAAAAGTTGTCCAGATGCAAGATTGGGAAGGATAAACAACCCCAAAGAGTGAGAGAAAAAATAAAATCTATTTGATTTGATATTTTTTAATTTAATATAAATGTTTTTAAATTTAATTACCTATATAAATAAGATTTACTTAATCAAAGTTAGCTTATTCCTTTTTAATCTGTTAGTTATGCATTTTTTATTGAAATATTTTTCCTGATCATTATGCATTTGAATATAATTAACATAAAAGTTTGTCATATCACTTTAAAGTAACATTTAACAGAATGCTTTGGTAGTTCTTAGTAATTTTGATAATATTACCTCCTTGTTAGTAATATTGCTCTCCATTTATTTTACTTCAGATTTATACCTAAAATAATAGTGATCTAGAGATGGTGTAAATGTTATTTATTTCTTACATAACAGGTACATTTTTATTAATAAACAATCAAAAAAGATATTTGGGCTTGTAAAAGTTATTTAGAGAAGTATTTTGCTATAATAATTTCAAGATTTTTTGACTTCTGTTGTAATTTTTTTAGATTTAATAATAGAACTTTAAATATATTATGTTTATAAAGACTCATAACTATCATGATTCGCAAGCTCATAAAGTCAAGATTTTTAGCTATTATGTTATTCATGCAGGTTATTACTAATGTTTTTCTAATCGTTTTTGGCTATCAGTGTCATTAGAAATAACAGGTGTTATTTTTTACATAATTGAAAGGGGGAAATAAATGTATGTGGCTTAAATTGCACCATTGTCTAGCCTGATGGTAATCCTTTGACTAAATTAGTTTTTCACACAGTGAACGCTTGAATAGTTTAGAGTAGTCTAATGTTAACAGTAACCTTACTTGTGCTTGAAGCTGTCAGTGTATAAAATATTATTAATATCAAATGAATTATATAGGAGCTTTCATCCAACAGACAGACAAGAACTAAATTTTTTCCCCGATGTATATTAATAAGGTTGTACTAATTGTAAACTTTGAATTATGCCGTATAGTATTATTACATTGATCACATTCTGTTCTACCCACTCCATGGTAACTAACAAATCCTCAATCTTATGTTGTTGCACTTCTGTACTTCAATAAGAACACACCATAAAAAGATCTCCTCAAACTCTATTTACACTTCTATTTTCATATTTTGTAATCTGGCATACTTTTTACGAAAGTATTTTTAATCATTTTTAAAGTTGCTGTTACATGTAAGTACATTCGAATTCGCTACTCGCATTATATATTACTTTTTATGTTTTATTCTGTGTTTTCTTGATTTTTATTTTAAATTTTTGCTTGATTGTTTTAATTTGCTTTTTTTATTTTATGTTGCATTTTTTTTTTTGCATAACTAAAACTAGTTCTTTTTTCGTTTCAATTGTTTTTCTGCTCCTCACCTTATTGTATATTTTCTTTGGCTACATGAATACAATATATTAGAAAGCACTCTCTTTTGTAGATATAAAATCGTGTGAGCTGATGACTAGATTATATCTTTTCATTATATTGTTTTCAGCTTTTGAATTTTTTTATAATAATTTAAAAAAAATTGTTTTTGGAAATTATTATTTTTCTTAACTTTCGTCATTTTTTTCTTTCTTTTCTTTTAGTCTTTATTGTCTATATTGTTCATGATATGTGAAATGCGATAAAAATTTTAGAACTTATTTGCACTATACTACAATCAGCTACTGCCGCTAAATCATTTTATAAATCAATGTGAAGTCTTAAAATTTCAGAAGAGTGGCTCTTCAGTTATTTTTATTTAACTTAAAGTAAAATAAAAAAACAACTTAAAATGTGTATTAAAAAAATGTTTTTTAATGTATTTTGTTACTTTATACTAAAGTAGATAAAGTGCATTTGAAGTTCTGTGCTAATGGGAGAAGTTCAGCTTTTTTTTTTTTCCAAGCTGCTGTCGCATGTCTTGAAATATATTAGCGTATGAAAGAAATTATTCCTTTTGGATCATCATTGAAGAATGTTTCAACAATGAACAAACATGAGGCAATATATGATGTACCAGACTAAGTGTCCCTAAAGTTGAGTCTAAATGTTAAAAAAAATTTAAAAATTTTTTAATTAATTTTTACATACATGAGAGCTCAAAATTCCCCCCCCCCCAATTTCANTCCCCCCCCCCCCATTTTCATTTATAACTTTGTGCAAACGATTGGAAACTCATTACAGCTGGTATGTATTGCTTCTTTTGGAACTGGGATATTATACCAAATCTACATTAAATGTACTTTGAATTTTGCGACAGTTAGTACTTTTTTCCCTTTATCTTTAAGAGCATATACCCTCACGTAAAATAATCAAGTAGGTTTAAATAGGTAGGTAAAAGTAGATAGGTTATGGCACAGAAGCAAGCCACTCTTCTCTGTATTGATGAAATCAGGCAAATTGCTTCTACACCACTTCTGGGCCTTTTTTGAATTATGGACAGGCATTGAGTCTTCTTAAAAGCAATATGACTGGATCAATGAAAAGAAGTGGAAGGCTTCCTTTTTGGAAAATCAAACCCCATACCATAATTTTCAATGCATTTTGGTATTGTTCTACTGTCAACTTTTTGGTAATGTTGGCAAGACTTGCTGCATTCATGTTCGTTTTGCTGGTTGTGACTGTCTTTTAAGATAAAAAAAAAATTCTCTTCTGGAGCGAAAATGCCACAACCCACTTGCAGATGTTATAACATCTTGTTGTTTTAACGACTTATTTTTGTGTGTTGGTAAGACCATGAATTTGTCATTTTTTGTATGATTTCAACTACAAATCTTCTTTGAATATTCTGTTCACCATTGATTATGACATTTGCATTTTTTTTTAAATACCTTGGAACAGATGAACATGAATTACTCTTAATCTGTTCTATAATATCTTCGCTCATGTTCACTGTCCTAACTGTTTTTTTGCTATACCTCTATGATGAGTTGAACAATTTGATTTCTAAATTAGAGTATCTGATTATTTTAAGCACAGCTATGATACTTATCACATGCCCCTCAATAATTTCATTGTAGCTTAGAATCCCATGGAACGTAATTTTTCAATTGTAATTCACACAGAGATGCGCAACCTATGGTCCACAGACCAAAAGTGACCCCCGATCTATCTTAAGTATTAATAAAAAAAAGTTACATGAGAAATCTTTTTTTTTTTTTTTCAGTTGTGCTCTGTAACAGTAAGTTACTGATCCGATTCAATCTTTGTCTGTGTATTAGATTGCAACCATTTCATTTTGCAAGTTTTGTTTATGGCAATGGGTATTATTACTTGTGGAGATACACAAATTCGTAAGAAATTATGCAAATAATTTAGAGGGGGTGAGGTTTTACCAAATCGAAGAGGTAAAAAAAATAATAAATTTCTTGTTTTTGTATATTTATAAATTTGTCCTAATAAATTGTTCTTGCAACTGTATTCGTTTATATTTTTGTTTATTTTAACTTCTGTAAAATGCACATAGAAGTCATTGCTTTCAAACAAAATATAACATCTCATATCCTTCTCTTTTAAAAATTCTCTTCTTCAATGGTGCGCCATCCCAGGGTGAGCCATGGCTTTCCTCAGAAGCAAGTTCGTAATTTTGACTTGAACCAGAGAACGATCAACCTCCAATTCAGTACCCCCAGAGGTATAAGTTTGTTATGAGAAATTGGGGGACTTTGTTGGCCGACATATTTAATATGCACCAGTCACCATTTAATTTACTTCACGGGGAGTCTTCGACCGGCGGGGATCGAACTCACGGCCTCTTGGACATGGGCCAAACGTCCTACCAATCAAGCTATTCCAACCCTTTACTTTGTGCAATTTTTGAAGACCCTTTATATAATATTGCAGTTTTTATGTAAGTGTAAGGAAATCTTTTTTAATTTTCTTTATAAAAAATTAATAAACGCTATATTTTTTGTAAGAAATTTTGGTTGGGGCCCCTAGCAGTCTCAGGCCCGGGACAATCGTTC